CACCAGTCCTCCTATGGGCCCATGAAGAGTGGTGGCGGCGGCGGTGGAGGCGGCAGCTGGGGCGGTCGCAGTAACAGTGGACCTTACAGAGGCGGCTATGGCGGTGGGGGTGGCTATGGAGGCAGCTCCTTCTAAAAAATTAAAATGCCTGGGAGTGGCTATAGGGGTAGCTCTTTTAAACAACCCAAGTGGGGTCAACTCCTAAGTCCCTTCCCCCCAACCGCCTTTCCTATTTTGCCCTTGGGGGAGCCACTTCTAAGGCTACTTACCCTTGGGGTTGTTCCCCTATTTGCCTGCCACCTCTCTTGTCTCCCTTTGAAGTTGGACTCGGCCCCACATACACATTTTTATGTTACAGTCATTGATGGACTCTATTTTTTTATTATTACTTGGACCTTGGTCGTTTTTATACTAGCAAAATGTCTTGTTTTAATTTGTGTTTTTTGGGGGAGGGAGTGAAACTTGCTGATTCTGTAGCAAAACCTGGGCGGGGGAGGGAGCTGGGGGGGGTAGTTTACTTTGTTGTAAGGACTTGATACCTGGCTACAGCGTTTTCTATGAAATCTACTTGGATCCCATGCCTGAAATTTGGAAGCATATGTACAAAAATCATTTTTACGTTTTATTTTTAATAAATCATTGTGTTTGACCGTATATGTCTAACATTTTTTTTTCCTAGGATCCATTCTAAACCGTTTTAAGGGATATTAGTTTAAGATTTTTCGTGTTAATTACTTTTTGATGTGTACTTAGAGAACCTTTTAAGAGGTCTCATGGGTTTTATTTTCCCCTGCTGTCCTGCTAGTGACATGTTGAATTTTATCCCTTAACAGGCAAAACTTTGGAAGTGTTGGATGTGGCTTTTAAAAATCTTTTTTAAGTTTTTGTGCATCCATCTCTTGTACTAAGCGGTTTGCTTATCATCTTGACATGGTTGGTCACTTCTTTCTATGACAATTCAAAGTATGTACTGTGTAGTTCTAAAATAGTTTGTGTTAAGCATGTGTTTTCCTTCATAGAAACTGTTTAAAATTTTTCATTGCCCTAATTTCATCCCTCTTGGTTTGTAATGAATGGTTACAAATAATGGGATTATATCTTACCCTCAAACTAAATGCATTTTTGTATTTTCAGAGCAGGTTTGAATGTTTTTTTCCCCCCCTGTATCTGAACTGTTGTTCTCATGGAAATCCTTCACCAACCTTTGTAGCACCATCTACTGGCAGAATGGCAATATAGCTGCAAAACATTGTTAAAAAACTTATTTAGGACAATTGCATCAGATTTAGAAGTTTTGCTATCAAAAATCTGTGCAGACTGGAAGTTAACACATTTACTTGTAACTGAGATGGGCTTCAGAGGAATGTAGTTATCAGTCCATATCACAGTCGCCCTTTCTACTGAGATTTGAAATTGTAAAATGCTATGCATAGCTTGGGCAATAGCCCCAAATTGCTATGACGACTAATGAGCCAGCTATGTTTACTGGTATTTTAGGTGCAAGTTGTAAAGCAAAATATCTGTGTATTCTGCTTGGTTAACAAATGTATATTTGTAGCCCTTTCATGCAATAGAATTCAAGTTGTTGTTTATAAAAAACAAAACAAAACAAAACTGATAATAGGAAAAAATTGCCTTCCTGGATAGAAATATAGAATAGCAACGTTTATGGATATCACAAATAAAGAATTGAATTCTTTACATGATTGAGTGAGAGTATGTATGAACCTGGTGGGTGGGTTCAGAGTATTAATGTAGTTTATTTAACTTGATTTAATGTTAAGATAAAATATTTGACTTAGCTCTTGATGTTCAAAGCCCAAAGCTATACTTTCTGAATAAGATGATTAGGTTTTAAAGTAAAAATATTTTTATATTTACACAGCTTTTAGTTCTTGTCACCATATACTTCCTAAGGTCTAATTCTTGACAGATTTTTTTCTTAATTGCCAGGGATTACTTTTAAACCTTTACAAAGAAAGGTCAAGATTGCTAGGTTAGGTGATGGCTGCTCAGTAGTCATTTTGACAAAAGAGAGCTGAAACTTGGTACAAGTACTTAATTATACCTCTGTGACAAATGGGATAAATGTTTTTGCTCATTGAATGAAGTGATAAAAACAAGTCACATCCTTTGCTCTCAGGTAGATCTTCAGTTTACATTAATTTGTCTTACTTTTTACTTTCCGTGGTACAAATGCTACATACCGGGTACTTCATTTGGAATTCTGTCCAGCCTTTTGGGGGCCCTCTAGGGATTCTCTTTTTTAAGTTTTTCTTTATCTGATGTTTACTCAATTTTGGTGGAAAGATTTATTCTGGGTCAGTTGGAATAGTTAATCTGGAGAGTTTTCCTTTTACTATTAGTCATTTTGTCTTCCCAACATAGTGACTTCTAAAAAGTTGGCAAATTATGTCAAAGGATTTCTTGTTAATTAGAAAGGCAACCTTTTCTCTTAGTGTTGTATTAACAGTTAATTCTTGTGTGTCTACCCTTAAAATTTCCACAATCTGAATTGTTACTTAGTAAAGGAAGAAGCATAGTGGTATCTAGACTTAACTGGGTTCCTCTTGTCAGTTTTTTATGCAAACATTTTTGGCATGTGGGACTTTTGGGGGGGTGGGAGGGACAGCTGGTTGTATATTTTGGACCTCTTCACCTGTGAGAATTATCTGAGCATTGTTCACATTTCATAAGAATTTGTGGGAGCAGGTGGTACAGAACGTAGTATTGAATATAATTTTTTGTGCCATGCTTTAACTGAAAGATGAAAATAAAAATGAACCTTTTTAAAGCATAAATCCAGCAGTAATCATTAATTGAAAGTGGTTTGAAAGGTCATTAAAGATTACACAGATTGAATATCCCTTACCCAAAGTGTTTGGGACCAGAAGTGTTTTGAACTTTGGACTTCTATTGTTTCAGGTTAATTGCGCTTATGAAGAATTAGGTTATAAATGTTTGCATTTGATAGGTAAGTCCCTCAGGATTTTGGGCTTCTAAAAAATTTTGGGGGGAGTATTTCTGTTGTATTTACCAGTTAAACATCTCTAGTCTGAAAATCCAAAATTGAAAGTGTTCCGATGAGCATTTCCTTTGAATGGCTCATCTGTGCTCAGAAAGTTTGAGATTTTGGATCATTTCATAATGGAGTTTTGGATTTGGGATCTTCAGTCTAGTCATTTTAAGCAATTTAAAATGCTTACAGATGCTTATGGTAAATCAGAAGGAGCATACCTGTTATTTTATAACCTAGTGATTTGGAACATTTCATATTTAAATCTAATTTCAGAGTGAATTTTTGTTTTTAAGCAAGGTTTGGGATTGGCAGTACTTGAGAATTTTGCATTTAATATTACTTCTCTTCAAGACAAGAAGTGACAGTGTCAGTTATTTGATTTGTAGGCTTGTACTTTTTACCTTCTAAGTGCGCTTAAGTTTCTCAAATTTGAGAATTTGCATTTTAGGTTAAATTTAGTATGACTGTGTCTTTGCTGATTGGAAATGGGCATTTGGATGTTGGATTGATTTGAGCAGAACTGCACCTAGACAGTATGGATTTTACCCCAGAAGACAACATTTGCACTTAAGAGAGGGTAAGTGTTTTTCCTCCATTTTAACCACCATTATTGAGTCAGTAAGAGTTGATTGTTGGGAAAAATGCCCTTTTCTTGGCCTTATTTTGGCTTTTTTGAAACAGCGTAACAAAGACTGCCTCTAAACCAGGGTAGGACAGTGCTTTCTTCTTACTGTCCTATTGCAGGTTACTTTAACGTACCTTGTTTTATGCTCTGTATTAAAAGTGAAAACACTTATATTTTTCAATAAAATGTTCCTTTAGAGTAGTTGTTCTCAACCTTCCTAATGCCAGGACCCTTTAATACAGTTCTTCATGTTGTGGTGACCCCCAATCATAAAATTATTTTTGTTGCTATGGCATGGGGGTCACCACAACATGAGGAACTGTATTAAAGGGTCCTGGCATTAGGAAGGTTGAGAACCACTGCTTTAGAGTAAGTAAATAAAGCCTAAAGAACATATAATTTCTACTGTTACTTTATTTCTTTTGCTAGGCCGGGTTTGAACTCGCCACCTCCAGTATATGGGGCCGGCACCCTACTCCTTGATCCGCAGGTTCCACCCTATTTTATTTTCTTTTTGAGACATAGTCTCACTATGTCGCCGTTGGTAGAGTGCTGTGCGGTCATAGCTCACAGCAGCCTCAAACTCTTGGGCTTAAGTGATTCTCTTGCCTCAGGCTCCCAAGTAGCTGGAACTATAGGCGGCCGCCACAATGCCTGGCTATTTTTTTTTGTTGTAGTTGTCATTGTTTTGGCAGTCCTGGGCTGGGTTCAAACCTGCCAACCTTGGAGTATGTGGCTGGTGCCTTAACCACTGAACTATGGGTGCCGAGTCACTACTGTTACTTTAAAAAATGACAATATTGTATAATATTTGGATTGTGCTAAAAGCCATGGATAATATCAGTATTACTACTAATACGTACAAAACATAGGAATCTTAGAGATTTTTCTTGGGGCCAGTATATTTAAAAAGTAACTAGTAGAATTAAAGTAATATTGTCCCCTCTATTAATCTGAAATAAAAGAATTAAAATGATAATTGCTTATAAGCCAGACTAAACAAAAAGTAGGTATTGATAAAAATTGTACCTATAGAGCAAACTCCCCCTTCTTGGGTAATCACTGTTAATAAGTATATATCTAGCTGTATCTTTTGTATGCATCTGCATTAATTTTTAAAAATGGAGTTTGGTAGTTTTATAGTTTATATGTTTCATGAATATTCTTGGATATCAAGACACATAGACCTATTTCATTCTTGTTAATGCCTGTATAATGTTCATTACATAGGGTACCATAATTTAAAACATTCATCTATTGATGGACATGAAGTTTCTTCCATTTTTTGCTATTAAGAATAATGAAGTAATGAATGATGATCGTCCTTGTGGACACTTTCTTGCACATGAAATACATATTTCTTAGTTGATGGAGTGGCTGTTCAGTTAAATGTGCTACATAATATGACTGCAACAGTTTTGTGGTATAAATATTTTTCAGGTGTCAGGATACACATAAAGTATATGCTTGGCTTGGTGCCTTAGCTCAGGGATTAAGGTGCTGGCTGCGTTTACTAGGGCTGGTGGGTTCAAACCCGGCCAGGGCCTGCTAAAACAATGACAACAACAACAAAAAAATAGCCGTGGGTTGTGGCAGGTTTCTGTAGCTACTTCAGAGGCTGAAGCAAGAGAAATGCTTAAGCCCAAGAGTTTGGGGTTGTTGTGAACTGTGACGTAACGGCACTCTACCAAGGGTGACATAGTGAGGCTGTCTGAAAAAAAAAAAAAGAATGTGCTTACTTGTAGCTTTTTAAACTTTAAACTCAGCTAAAACATTTTGCTGAAAATTTTCAGAGCTAAATTACATATGATAAAACTGCATTGATAATCCTATGAAGGAAGCAATCCTATTGCTATCTTCTTTTGATTTTTCCTATAGTATTACTGTAGGAATATTTGCCAGTTTTTTCCTTGTCCTATTCTCATTTATCACTTAAGAAATTTCATTACTGTCAGAAAAAATAAGCAACCATTTGGGTGGTGCCGTGGCTCAAGGAGTGGTGCTCTGGCCCCATGTATTAGGGGTGGTGGGTTCAAGCCTGGCCCCGGCAAAAAAACAAAACAAAAAAGAAAGCAACCATTTATTAAAGGTTTGCTGTCTGCTTTGCACTAGGATAAGTATTTTATATCCATCATTTAAAAATTTCTATCTAATTATCATAATATCATTTATCTAATAGTATATGTTTAGGGTACATACTATGTTTTGATACAGTCATACAATGTTTCAATTGAAGGATAAATGGGGTTATCCATCACTTCAGGCATTATTTCTTTGTGTTAAGAACAGTTCATTTCTACTCTTTTAGTAATTTTGAAGTGTACTCTAACTTAACTGTTGATTATAGTCACTTGGTTGTGCTGTCAAATCATTTAAGTCCTCAATAATTCTACAAGGACATCCTGTTATCTCCATTTTGCATATTCTGCAGGTTTATAAGCAATTTCCCTAAGATCATATAGGTACTATCAATAAGAAATACAGATCTTTTAGCTTATTTTTAAAAATTGCATTGTGGAAAAAAAAACCGTTCCTCCCCTTTTTCACTCCTAGTGCCGAGAGATAACCTATGTTAACAGTTAATAACAAAAAGCCTTCTAGATCTTATGGTTACATATATGTGTGTAATATATAAAAATGCTTATTGTTTTTTAGGAACACAATGGATCATTTAGTATATATGTATACATGTGTATAGAAATGGATTTTAACGTCAGACATCTTTCTACATCTGTACGTATAGTTCTATCATAAAATTATGGTATTCTGTAGTCTAGATGGATTGCAATTGTTGATTAGCAAGTTTCCAGTTTTTCTTCTTCTTATAATTTAAAACTCGTTACGGGGTTTGTATTACCATTTATACAACATCAAAGAGGAACAAAGAGGGTACAGCAGCCTGGCTGAGCCATTC